TCAGTTTCATTGCTGGTAACCGGTCTGCAAATTTTCTTTTTCTTCCTAATTCAGTTTTGAAAGTTTATGTTACTGTGAAATTACCCATTTCATTTATGTTGTCCTGTTTGTTGGCAAATGATTTCTTACAATCCTTGTATTTCTGTGGTGTTGGTTATTTCTTATCCTTCATTTCTGGTGATATTTATCTGAGTCCCCTCCCTCCCTCCGTCCCTCCCTCTCTCTCTCTCTCTCTGTTTTTTGATGAGTCTGGCTAAGATTTATCAATTTTGTTGATGTTTTCCAAGAATCAGCTCCTAGTTTCATTGATCCGTTCTATTGTTTTCTTAGTCTCTATATCATTTGTTTCTGCTCTCATCTTTGCTATTTCCTTCTTTCTGTTGGCTTTGGGTTTTGTTCTTCCTCTAGCTTCTTTAGGTATAAGGTTAGATTATTTGAGATTCTTCTTGTTTCCTGGGGTAGGCCTATATTGCTGTAATCATCCCTCTTAGATGAGGATAGAAGAGCTAATGCTGCGCGATGCCCTCCTGTTTGTTCTTTCCTGAGATTGCTGTGGCTATTTAAGGTCTTTTGTGGTTTCATACAAATGTTAGGGTTGTTTGCTGTATTCCTGTGAAAAATGCCACTAGAATTTTGATAGGCATTGCACTGAATCTGTAGATTGCTTTGGGTAGTGTGGACATTTAAAAAATATTCTCATCCATGAGCATAGAATATCATTCCATTTATTTGTGTCTTCTCCAGTTTCTTTCGTCAGTGTCTTACAGCTTCCAGTGTACAGCTCTCACCTCGTTGCTTAAACTTATTCCTAGGTGTTTTATCCTTTCTGATTCAGTTGTTAATAGGATTGGTTTCTGAATTTTTTTTTAATAGTTCATTATTAGTGTATAGAAGTGCCTCTGATTTTTGTAGATAGATTTTGTGTCCTGCAGCTTTACTGAGTTTGTTTATTACTTCCAGGAGTTTTTTTGGTTGACTCTTTAGGGACCTATTTTTCAGTATATCTGGAAGGAGAAGTTTTTTCAGAGGCCAAAATCTGCCATGCCCTTCTCCTCTGCAAGAAAAGGAGAGATGCATGTAAGCTAAAGCACTTCCACAGAAGCAGCTTAGACATGGAGTAGAATCAAAGGAGACAAATGGCAGTGGAATGAGATCATAAAGTAGTTTGCACCGTAAGCTGTGGGATTTTCACATGCCACATGGTCATCTTTATCTTTATTATTTATTTATTAAGTTTCAGAAAAATCTTGTTTGGCAGTGAGATAAAGAAACCAGGGATAAACCATTAGGATAGCCTTGGGGTTTTTTTTTCATGTTTTAAGTTTTTATTATGAATATTTTTAAACATACCAAAAGTAGAAGATTAGAACAAATATTATGTACACACCATACACCTTCAACTCACATTTTTCATAAACACTCCTACCCACTTCTTCCCACTGGATTATTTAGAGGCAAATCACAGAGAAGTTATTATTTTCATAAATATCTTAGTATAGTGTCTCTATCAGTAGACTTTAAAAAACCATAACTACAAAACCATCATCACAATTAGAAAAATTAATGATTCTTTCCAATATTTAGTGTTCAGAATTTCCCAATTGTCTTTTTAAATTTTAATTCTAGTGTAGTTAACATGCATGTTGTGTTAGTTTCAGGTATACAATACAGTGTTCAGCCCTTCCACAGATCTCTCAGTGCTCATCATTAGGACACCCCTGTCATGGTCCAGTGAAAGATAAGAGTCTGACTTGAAGCAGGGGGTAGAATTAATGACGAGAAAGGGACTGATTTGAGACATTGTTCATGAAGACTTTGTCAATCAAGAACAAGCTAAATTATGTTTCATGTAATCCATTTTTCAAAGGCTTATTTTGATTATCTACCAAAAATGAAGCAGTGATAATTTGGCATTTAACGGATTGTTTTAGTTATTTTATGATTTTTCTTTTGTGCATCAGCCTTGTTTTCTGCTGATGTCAGGTAAATGAGGCATTTAGATTAAATGTCTCTTTGCTCTTCTACAGTTTTTAATCGTTCCAGAAGACATTTTGTAATGGATGAAATAGACTATCTGAAGACTTTTTGGTATCGGGGTTTTGTTTGTTTGGTTTTTTGTTTTTGGGGTATGTTTTTAGGAAGCTGAGACACAGGGATTTAAATAGCTTATTATGGGTATCATGCAGCACGTTGGCTTTGGAATCAGTGTCAGATATGTCTGGTTACTACATTTGCCTCATTACTATTGTTAAAAGTACTTACTATTTCTCTGTGAAAGAGTAGGGGGTGAGATGGGATATCATTACCAATTTTACATAAGCACTTAACTTATCCTCCAAATTCAGACTCATTTAGGGTTAGTTCCAGCAGTAGGTACAGCTTTCATGGTATAGTTCTGTGTACCTGAGAAAATATGTTCCTGAAGTGTTTATTTCATTCATATAAATGTTTAATTTCCATGAAATTAAAAAAAAGTAACGTGCTAACCAGCATTTCCAGTGATCTGCTTATCACTGATTTGCCGCCTAGACTGGTCTTAGGAATAAAAGATTGGAATTTAGTCTCAGAGGAGCTACATGGAGCTGTGTTGCTAATTGAAGGTGATGAAGAATGGAGGTCAGTTGCGGGGGATTAAATCTTAGCCTCACGCCTTACTGCTTGCTTGCCTTAGGGGAATTTACTGAATTCTCTGTGCCTCTGGCCTTGTTTGTTTCATAAGGAGCCTGACCCCACCTACTTCTCGGTGTTGTGAGCATTAAATGATACTCTACATGCAAAGCGTTCAACTGATACTCTATGTGTAGTACTTTATAGGTGTGCAATGAATATGGTCTATTATAAGCAAGGTTAGTCAAGGAAAATTTGGATTTGCATTAAAGATAAGTTCCTGCCTGGGGCACCTGGGTGGCACAGTTGGTTAGGTGGCCAGCTCTTGGTTTCAGCTCAGGTCAGGATCTCACAGCCCTGGGATCAAGCCCCAACTCAGCCGGGAGTCTGCTTGGGACTCTCTCTCCCTCTCCCTGCCCCTCCCACTTGTTCTCTCTCTTTCTCTCTCTCTCAAATACATAAATCTTTAAAAAAAAAAAAAGAAAAAAAGGTTAAATTCCTGCCTTTAAAGAATTCATTTTAGTACAGGATTCCTGGTAAGCTAATATAACAAGTATCTCTACTTCATTTAGATTGGTTTTTTTGTTTGTTTGTCTGTTTGGGGGGTTTCTTTTGTTTTTAGAAATGTGTCTTTTGTGGAAAATAAGGTATCTACACAAAAATTCCTATATTCCTAGACGTGTTACAATGTAAATCTTTCAGGTATCCTATTAGAAGGGTCTGTCTCCCAGATTTTCTTATTATTTTAATTGGTCCTTTGAAAAAATACCATCATGTTTTTGTTGTCTTTTAACTTAATGCTTGGATCCTCTGGCATATAAAAGGATTGCTCATAATGTAGGCAAGCTTTCTGGCCTTCGATTATTTAATTTTGGAAACATTTTGGATCAGTTCCCATCATTGGAGAAAGAGGTGAAACGGCCCCTCATCAGAGCTATGTATAAGCTTGTAGCTCTCCAGCTTTGAAACTGGCGATAAAAAACAAAATATCTTCCCCTTCTGTCTGCTAAGTACAGATTTTTTTTCTTAAATGTAATCCTGCCCATTAGACCTTACAGCAGTAAAAAATGAGCCATTCGCATGACTTGTCACTTGATTTTGTTGTTGCTTCCCTGGAAATGTTGCCTCCCTCGTTCATTCCTTGGAATATTATATTAAGTGATACAGGGTTTGCTGGCTGTGGAATTTATTGGTGTTGCTCAGGGTCTGGTACTTTTCAGCATAGTAGTCTTTCAGCTTTATTTCCCAAACTTACTAATTTTTTTTGAGAGAGAGAGCAAGAGCCGGAGTTGGGGGGCTACAGAGGGAGAAGGAGAGAGAGAATCCCAGGCAGGCTCCATGCCCAGCACAGAGCCCAACATGGGGCTTGATCTCAGGACCCTGAGATCATGACCTGAGCTAAAATCAAGAGTCGGCTCCTCAAGCAATGGAGCCACCCAGGTGCCCCCTGTAATGTTAACGTAGGCCTTCACCTTTGAAAGCACGGATTTGTGTGGTGGTTATCATTGCAGTCGGTTGCCAGTGAGTGCCTACTGTTTTGGTACCAAACCAGGACCTTTATATATATCATCTCATTTAATTTTTACAATAACTCTATGAGAAGTGTTACTATACCCATTTGTAGTCTAGGAAACTGAGGCTCAAGAAGGTAAATAACTTTTCAAGGTGGCTGGCTGGCTCAGTCAGTAGAACATGAGACTCTTGATCTCAGGGTGGGGAGTTCAAGCCCCATGTGGTGCATTGAGATTACTTAGAAGTTTTTTGTTTTTTTAATTTTTTAATTTTTATTTTTTATTCATTTATTTGACAGAGAGAGAGAGAGATTGAGAGAGAGCCATCACAAGTAGGCAGAGAGGTGGGGGGCGGGGGGGAGCAGGCTCCCTGCTTAGCAGAGAGCCCGATGTGGGGCTCGATCCCAGGACCCTGAGATCATGACCTGAGCCGAAGGCAGAGGCTTTAACCCACTGAGCCACCCAGGCACCCCTAGAAGTTTTTTTTTTTTTTTTTAAATCTTTAATTAAAAAGAGAAGTTAAATAACTGTTACTGGACATAAAAAGAACCAGGATTCTGCTCGCGGCCTAACGGACTCATACTGCCTACTATTGTGTGGTTTATGCCACGCTGCCTTTCCAAACTCATTCTCACCGTAAACATCTTATTAGTTTTGAAGTTTTACGTACTTATGGAAGCATAAATATATACATACGTAGGGAAGACAAAAAGACTATATGCCAAAAAGTCGTGGTTATCTGGATGGTACGTCTGATTTTTTAAATATTTTTTCTTTGTATATTCTATACATATGAACATGCATTATTTTATAATAAACATTTTTATGTCACATATGAACAGTAATTGAGATATGACATTTCTAATTGTTGCTTATTTCTAGATCAGCTGGCTTCATTTCCTCAGTGGAAGTCTAGTCACTATGATGTGGTAGTTGGTGTGTTGTCTGCTCGCAATAACCACGAACTTCGAAATGTGATAAGAAGCACCTGGCTGAAGCATTTAATACAACATCCATCATTAAGTCAACGGTAGGTTTTCTGAGTTGGCACTTGCCTGATTAACTGAGTAAATGTTCTGGAAGACCTCTCCTGAGACAGTCAGAAATGTTAATTTAGGCATGTGGCCGCTCTTCCTGGAAGAAATGGCTATTTTATTTTGCTTTCCCTTCACATAGAGTCACAAAGTTCTTAACGGAAAGATAGTTAGGGGAGAATATATTCATTGGTTAACATATTAGCATTTATAGATACCTAGTTTGTTTTGTTTTTGCTTTGATTTAGAATAGTAATTCCTTTTTTTTTTTTTTTTAAGAGAGCAAGAGTGAGCAGGGAGAGGGGCAGAGGAAGAGGGAGAAAGAATCAGAAAGAACCTTAAGCGGTTTCCATGCCCAGCACAGAGCCCAGTGCAGGGCTGGATGTCACAACCCTGATGTCATAACCTGGGCTGAAATCGAGAGTTGGACACTTAATCACCCAGGTGCCCCTAGAATAGTAATTCTTAAAAGGTTCTATTCCAGGGGCACCTGGGTGGCTCAGTGGGTTAAAGCCTCTGCCTTCGGCTCAGGTCATGATCTCACGGTCCTGGGATCAAGCCCCACATCTGGCTCTCTGCTCAGCAGGGAGTCTGCTTCTCCCCGCACCCTGCCTGACTCTCTGCCTACTTGTGATCTCTCTCTCTCTCTCTCTCTCTCTCTCTCTCTCTCTCTCTGTCTCTCTGTCAAATAAATAAAATTAAATTAAAATTTTTTTTAAAAAAGTTCTATTCCAGAATAGGTCTCTGGTTAGACATGTTTGTGTCTAAATACGCTTTTTACCAACTTCACAGAGACACACTGAATTTTTCCTGTTCTGTAGTGTTTTTTTAATTGTGTGCTCTGCAGTGTGTAGCTCTTTTTCCTGCCTGCCCTTCCAGGGCTGAGCTTTGGTAGCACATCTCATGTTGGTGTTAGATGGCTCAGTTATTGGTTAGGAGCCCAAGACCTTAGCAATGAGACCAGCCTCTGAAGATGACATCATGAGGGGCTAGTGGAACAGAAGCATAGGAGACTGAACTTTTAGTTCTGCGGAGACACTCAGATGATGGGCAGTTCTCCATGGCCCTCTTAGGATTGCATTACACTGGCACATTTGGGACTGAGTAGCTACACAGTTGCAGCATTTTCTTGTCATCAGTCGTGAACATTTACAGATTTCCTATCTTATTCATAGCGGCTTTCATTCCTTTTCAAGACAGATCTCCTTGGTTCATGATCTCAGTGATAATAGTACCGATAAACTAGCAAATGAAAGGCCTTGGACTCCTCACTGCTGGCAGAACCTCGTCCAAAACCTGCACTTCCTACCTAGCCTTTTCTGTCCCAGAGAATAATGACCCCTCTCTGCCTGTTGCTCAGAAAACCCTGGTGACTATGTTATAAATGAGGGAGTGAGTCCCTCTTATGGGTCTTTAAGGATCTGTCCAGCATGGCCGCAGAAGGTACACTGGGAGAGGCCTTTGAGATTAGATCTAGTCCACTCCCAAGTCCTAGAGAAGGAGGCCCAGTGCACCACACAGAGGGCGGCCACACAGGAGGAACGTCCAGGGAGCAGGCTCAACCAAGCAGGTGGCGAGTCCACAGTGGAGCCCCCATGGGTACATGCCTTTACGGGGGTCACAGGGGTGTATACAAGCAGGAGGAGGGAGGGGATTTCACTGTTGTGTTCGAATGTCACTAGGTGAGTGAGGGAGGGCCAGAGGGGGATCTCATGGCAGGGACCAGCTTTATCGCTCCAGTGTATCAGGTCACTTGGGGAGGATGCTCATAACCTCTTTGTGAGGATGTTGAGGCACCAGGAAAATAGGAAATTTTAAAAATTTGTACTACATTGTTATCTTGATTTCTTCTTTCTCTCACATGCCACATCCAACCCATCAGCATGTTTTCTTGGTGCTACCTTTCTATATCATCCAGAATCCAGCCCCTTGCCACCTCTACCACTACCATCAGAACCACCACCCTCTCCCCATTAGGCCACATTACCTCTCACCTGGATTCTTGCGGCCTCCTCTATCTGGATTTCCTGCTTCTACCTTTGTTCCCCTATATTTTATTTTCTGTGCAGCAGCCAGAGTGCTTCTTTTAAAATTCATCAAATTACGTCTATTTTCTGTTCATACCCCTCCATTGGCTTCTCTTTTGCTCAGAGTGAAATACCAAGTGCTCACTGTGGTCTTTGACCTTATCAAAATCTACTTCCCCTACACTGGTGAACATTACCGTGCTTCCATCATACACTAAGTGTGCTTCTGCCTCGGGGCCTTTGCACTTACGGTCTCCCCTGTCTTTATCACTCTTCCACTGGACAATCCTCTTGGTTCACAGTCTCACATTTTTCAGCTCTCTGTTTAGAATTCACCTTAGCAGGAGGCAGCCCTTTATTAAATAGCACCTAACCCCTTTTCCCTCTCCATCCTCCCTTACTTGACTTCGTTTTTCTTTATAATACTTATTACCAACTGGCATGTTTATTATATTTAGCTTTGTGTTTTAAATAATTTGTCTTTCCCCCACGAGAATATAGTTTCGTGAGTGTAGGGACTTTAACCTTTTTTTTTTTTTAATATTTTATTTTCAGAGAGAGAGAAAGAACACAAGTGAGCAGGGGAAGGGGTTGAGGGAGAGGGAGACAGGGAGAAAGGATCTTCAGCAGGCTCCACGCACTGGGTGTGGAGCCCGACATTAGGCTCAATCCCACAACCTGAGATCCTGACCTGAGCCAAAACCAAGAGTTGGATGTTCAACCAACTCAACCACCCAGGCACCCGGGGAATGTTGCTTATTTCACTGATGTATTCCTAGTACTTGGAACCTTACTTGGCACAGAGTAAGACACTCAACAACTCTTGAGGGAATGACTCAGACTAAATGTAGTGAGGAAGATTAACATTCAGATAGTCACGAGTCATTTATTTGCCATCATAGCATTACTGCTTTAAATTTAGTAAGCTTGGGGGCGCCTGGGTGGCTCAGTGGGTTAAAGCCTCTGCCTTCGGCTCAGGTCATGATCTCAGGGTCCTGAGATCGAGCCCCGCGTCAGGCTCTCTGCTCAGCAGGGAGCCTGCTTCCCCCTCTCTCTCTCTGCCTGCCTCTCTGCATACTTGTGATCTCTCTCTGTCAAATGAATAAATAAAATCTTTTTTAAAAATAAATAAATAAATAAATTTAGTAAGCTTGGTGATTTGTTCTATAAAAATGATGGGATACTTATATAAAAATAGATACTAGCCAAAAACTTCTTAGGGCAGAGTAATTTTGTGAATCTAGTAAGAGTATTTAAGATAGCTTTAAAAAAACTAATTTGTTAAATATCTGCAATAATTTAGTCAGCAAACTTACTGATTTCTGTTTATACTTTTATTCTAAGTGCTAGTTGTTTACAAATGGGTATTCTGCCTTAATTGGCCATTAGTAAACGAAATGTTTGCATTTCTGTGGCTTCAAATCTTGCATTTCACTGAAGGAGCCAGATTCCACATACACTTCCAGGACATTATTTAATGAAAAGCCTTTGTAATAAAATTAATAAATTGTCAATTTCACAAGTAACTATTGAGTATCTTCTGCATGCACGTAGTTTACTGCATGTGGTAGAATGCAAAGATAGTTGCCATAGAGTCCCAGTCTTTATGGGAGCTTGAAGTTTAATAGAAGGAAATAGATGTAACAGTATAATAAAATGTTATACGTGCTATCATATAGATAAATAGAAAACAGCCTGGAGTGTTTGGGAAACTCCAAACAGTTCCATGTAATTGGAACCCTGGGTTAGGGAGGGGAGTTGAGAGGAGGGTGTGGGTGAGTGAGATGAAGCGCTTGGGAAGGAAAGTGGGGCAGAGAGACAGGGTTTATGAGGTAGAGAGAGGGAGGCCATCGAGCCTGGGGCAGGCTGTGGCCAGGCCCTGCAGAACAGCTGTGGGGACAGAGGCATGGACTGCTGAGACCTGGCTAAGCGGCTGAGGGGCTGAACTGAAGTGTGACCTTAGAAGAAAATGAGGTAAATAAACAGCAAGAGGGAGAGGAGGAAAAGGAGTCGAGGATGATTGCTAGCTTTCTAACTTGGAGAATAATGAGAATAACTTGGAGAATACTCAATCAAGGCAAAAACACTAGATGAGAAGAGCAGGTTTCATGGGAGAGAAGTTCTGCGGTGGGTATGTTGAGTATGGTACCTGAAGGCAATAGTGTGCTGGTTAAAGTTTACCAGCTGGCTCTCGGAAGCATACCAATTATGTGTACATGTGCATATGTATGTGTTCTCTCTAAGTTTTACTGATATAAATGATGTATGGTGCGTAACTGACAGATAATAGCATACGTGATACTCTTTATTATAAATTCCATGTAGCGAGCTGATTCCCACGAATGCTCCCATTGTTCTAGACCTTTGTATCTAACCAATTGCATGTTGTGCCTGACAGGAGTGCAGTTTGGACATAAATATTTTCTTTAAGATAGAGTAAAACTGAAGTGACAGCCGAGATATATGTCAGAACTTTACTCTTCATCGGTAAAGTCAGTGACTTCTTTGTTGAATCAGGTAATAGGTTTTGAATAGTGGAAGGATGGTTCCTCAGTTTTTTGTGCTATTCACAGTGGGGTGGCTACAGACACATCACTTTTTTCTTTTTATTTTTAATTCAAGTATTATTAATATACTGTTACATTAGTTTCAGGTGTACAATATAGTAATTCAATAATTCTCTACATTACACAGTGCTTATCAAGATAAATAGACTCTTAATCTACTTCACCTGTTTCTCCCATCCCCTCCACCCACCTCCCCTCTAGCCACCACCAGTTTGTTCTCTGTACTCAAGAGCCTGTTTTTTGGGGGACACTTGGGTGGCTCAGTCAGTTAAGCGTCTACCTTCAGCTCAGGTCATGATCCCGGGTTCTGAAGTCGAGTCCCGCATCAGGCTTCCTGCTCAGCGGGGAGCCTGGTTCTCCCTCTGCCTACTGCTCTCCCTACTTGTGCGTGCACTCGCTCTCTCTTTCACAGTCTGACAAATAAATAAAATCTTTTAAAAATAAAATTAAATTAGGGGCGCCTGGGTGGCTCAGTGGGTTAAAGCCTCTGCCTTCGGCTCAGGTCGTGATCCCAGGGTCCTGGGATCGAGCCCCACATCGGGCTCTCTGCTCAGCAGGGAGCCTGCTTCCCTTCCTCTCTCTCTCTCTGCCTGCCTCTCTGCCTACTTGTGATCTCTCTCTCTGTGTCAAATAAATAAAATCTTTAAAAAAAAATTAAATTAAATTAAATTAAATTAAAAAATTATGAAGAGACTGTTTTTTTGGTTTATCTTTTTTTTTGTTCGTTTCTTAAATTCCACATATAAGTGAAATCATCTGGTATTTGTCTTTCTCCAAATTATTTCACTTAGCATAATACTCTATCTAGATCTGTCTTGCTGCAAATGCCAAGAGTTCATTTTTTATGACTGAGTAATATTCCATTGTATATGTATATACCACATCTTTATCCATTCATCCGTCGATGAACACTTGGGTTGCTTCCATATCTTGGCTACTATAAATAATGTTGCAATAAATACAGGTGCATATATCTTTTCGAATTAGTGTTTTCATTTTCTTTGGGTAAATACCCAATACTGGAATTACTGGATCATATGGTAGTTCTATTTTTTTATTTTAAAGGTTTTATTTATTTATTTGACAGAAAGGTCACAAGTAGGCAGAGAGGCAGGCAGAGAGAAAGGAGGAAGCAGGCTCCCCGCCGAGCAGAGAGCCTGATGCAGGGCTCGATCCCAGGACCCTGGGATCATGACCTGAGCCGAAGTCAGAGGCTTTAACCCACTGAGCCACCCAGGTGCCCTGGTAGTTCTATTTTTAATTTTTTGAGGACCCTCCATACTGTTTTCCACAGTGGCTACAGCAGTTTGCTCTCCCACCAGCAGTGCACAAGGGTTCCCTTTTCTCCACATCCTTACCAATGCTTGTTATTTCTTGTCTTTTTGGTATTAGCCATTCTAACACCTTTGAGATGGTATCTCATTGTGGTTTTGATTTGCATTTACGTGAGGATGAATCATGTTGAACATGCTTTCATCTGTCTGTTGGTCATCTGTATGTCTTCTTTAGAAAACTGTCTATTCATGTCTTCTGCCCATTTTTTAATTGGGTTGTTTTGTTTTTTGATGTTGAGTTGTGTAAGTTCTTTATACATTTTGGATATTATCTCCTTATCAGATTTGTCATTTACAAGTATCTTCTCCCATTCCATAGGTTGCTTTTTAGTTTTATTGTTTCCTTCACTGTGCAGAGGCTTTTATTTTGATGTAGTCCCAGTAGTTTAATTTTGCTTTTGTTTCTCTTCCCTGAGGAAACATAGCTAGAAAAATGTTTCTACAGCTGTCATCAGAGAAATTGCTGCCTATGTTCTCTTCTAGGAGTTTTATGGATTTAGGTCTCACAGTTAGGTCTTTAATCCATTTTGAGTTTATTTTTGTTTGTGGTCGTGCTCGCTTCGGCAGCACATATATTTTTGTTTGTGGTATAGTAAGTGGTCTCATTTCATTCTTTTGCAGGTAGCTACCCAGTTTTCCCAAACACTTTGTTGAAGAGACTATCTTTTTCCCATTGGATATCCTTGCCTCCATTGTCATTGATTAATTGTGGGTTTATCTCTGGGCTGTCTATTCTGATCCACTGATATATGAAGACATGTCTTACTTTTTTAAGTTTAATCTTCGTTAACTTTTCCTCCAACGATTTACTTTTTTTTTTTCCTCCATCCCTTAAAGTCAATGAAACCCTAATTTGTAGTGTTTGCTAGTTTTCGTGGTATAAATATTCTCACCATGACCAACTTCAACCAACTAACACAACATCTCTGAACACAGACTTGGGAAAGATATGTAGTAGCATACCATTTTATTTCCACCACCCAGTTATAATAGGTAAATATAACCTCAAGACCATAGGTAGTAGTGAAATAATTAAGAAATGATTAATTTGAGAATTTTCTTTGTTTTTAAAGCAGTGTGTTTCATTGTAAGTTTATATAATTTAATAAAGTCTGTTCTTAATAACTAGCCCACAGAATTCCTGAAGATTTAGCAGGTGGCTCTCATAAGCCAGTAGGAGCAGGTTCCAGCACACCACTGTCATCTGTGGGCCATCTGGGAAAAAATGTTCAGTGGATACATACGGATCTTTTAGGAGATGGGTCCAAACTAGAGATGCTTCCCAAGCTAGTTGAAGTCTTGAGAATAAATAATTGTCCAGGGAGAGCAGGCAGAAAGAGTGAAAAGAGACCCAGAGCCAAAGCTCTGCTTTAATATCTACCGTAATGGGCAGACTTGGCGAAGAAGAGCCAGTGCAAGTGACTGAGCCGGCCACATAGTTGGGGGGAAAGAGCCTTGTAAGGAGACCAGCATTCTTGAACCACAGACCGAAGGGCTGAAAAGTTGTCTGGATTTAGCAGCAAATCAGTGGTTACATTGGTGGTAAACAGCTCCGTATAAGTGGTGGGTATTGAAGCTAAAATTTCTGTTTTATATGAGTGAGAGATGAAAAACTAGAGCCTACAATTTTAGTTCATTCCTTCATGGGACTTCACTAAAAAAGGTGGAGACAAGGAAGGGATGGTCGGTAAATAGAAATGAGTATCAAGACTTCATCGTACTTGTAACGTGTAGGGAAGGAGCCACAGGTTACAGGCTAGGTGTAGGAGAGGAGAGGACCTCTTCTTGAATAGGAAGACTAATCTGGTCTGGAGCAAAAGGATTATCTTCTACAATAGAGGAAAGTAAATAAAGAAGATTGCAGATACAGATATGTTTTTAGGTCGGACTGTGAGAAACTGACTTTACTGTGGTTTGTTTTTAATTGGTATGAGCATTTGCTGGTAGCCTGGCCAAACATATTCATACTCGCTTTGACATAATACTACAGGAGAGGGCTTACCCACATGTCATGTGGTGGTTGGCAACTTTCATTTTGCTTGTTCCTGTTTTGCTAAACTAGAAAAATAAAGTTAGAATAAATATTTGGGTCTTAAAGTAAAAGCTTTGAAATGGGCATGAGGAAACGGGCATGCGCAAAGTGCTGATCGGTATCTGATGGTAATGCCAATACATCTTTCAGCGTGCTTGTGAAGTTCATAATAGGTGCTCATGGCTGCGACGTGCCCGTGGAAGACAGGGAAGATCCTTATTCCTGCAGACTGCTCAACATCACGAATCCGGGTGAGTCATCTTTTTCCACAGCTCTGTGCCTCCGTTTTACAAGTTTGATGTTGAGGAAAAGCTGCTAAGCTGGCTAGTCTGGTGGTCCGCTTTTAGCAGACTAAGATCGAGCTTTCATCAAAATGTACCTTTCATCCTTTTTGACAGATTGAGTGATCACTCTAGCTCTCTGTGAAGAGTCTTTTTAGATATATTTAATTTCAGGATCCAAGAGAGTTTGTTTCTCAGTATGATTCACATGCATCTGGAGATTTCCTTGTGCATAAATAATCCTAGAAAACTGAGTTTTGAACTTCGAGACACCTGCTGATTTCACCATCTTGTCAATTTATAGTAACCTTGATACAAATATTATGAGTCAACTTTCCCTTAGGATTATTGCCTATAACCTCCTACAAAAGAAACAAATAGTAAAAATTTTAAATCTGAGTAATATTTTGTATTCCTTACAGTTAAAGATTTGTGGGAGTTTTGATGATGAAGAAAGATGGTCCTAATCATGTTCCTCTATTACCAGGGAACCAGTTTTAGGACGTTGCTAACTGTGTAAGCAGATGTCTTTCTTTACCAGCATTTCCTGTTATGTTCAGCTATGGTTCGAAGGAAAAGTAAACTTTTCAAAGTCTTAAGTGTGCCAGGTATGACCCCTGGAATTTTAAGATTTGTTAGGTCTTATAATTATGTACACCTTACTCTTACAGGCAATGATAGTGTTGAAAGCCTGGGCTTTCAAGTCAGGTTCCATGGATTTACATCTAGGCTCTGCCTTTTTGAGCTGTGTGACGTTTGATCAGTTATTTACCCCATTTGTGCCTCAGTTTCACCATCTGTAAACTGGGGATAAAAGTACTTACCTCATAGGCATTGACAGGATGAAATAAGATGATACTTACAAAAACTTAGACTCGTTCCTGGGACATGGTACTTAATGGTATTTTAAAGAACCTGCCTTTTATAAAGTTGAGTTTCAGTCAGCTTTTTAAATAAATTATCTGTATTGTATAAAGCTGAGGTTTCTTACTTACGCTCTTTTAGTTAACATTGTAAGGAAAATGTCATGTGTAATTGTGTTTCTGTGAGGCAGTCCGTTAGCTTGTACTAGAGTCCCATAGGGACCATGAACCTAATAAAATGTTGCATTACTGATGATGTAAGAGTAGCCTAGAACAAATTACATTTGAAATCCAAAACCAAATCAAATTTTTAAAAACCTCACCTTGAATTAACCAGACTTTTATTATGTTAAGTGTTATTATCCATTAATAGTAACGAAATGAAGCTATTAATTAATAGAAAATTTTCATAAGTCCAATACCTAGAATAAAAAAATTTTAATAGGTGTAACTAAATTTATATTGAACCTTATTTTATCTTTTTGATGACTCAGATGTCATTTTCATTTTATTTCAATACCTTAAGGTCATCATGAGTGTTAATTAATCATCATGCTCCTCTGAATATCTAGAAGTTTTGATTAATAACATTACTAAAGCAGCAGGACTTCGTGTGTCTAGGTAGCTTGAAGTTCAAGGTACATTTGTTTTTAATAGGTACGTAGTTATGTTATAGTATACTTAACCTATATGCATATACTTTGAATCTTTTATATTTACTGAGTGTATTAAAAAGAAAACATTTTGCTGTCATCCAGTTTCTTTGGAGTCTAGACTCTGTGGCCAGCGCTTGGCCAACCCATGACAAAATGTGTATCCACCTTCTTCCCCCTTCTGCTTATGTATGTAAATGGGTGGGGGTCATCAATTCCAATCAGGCACATTTTATTGAGCATTACTAAGTGTAAAATAACATCCTAGGAATTCAAAGGCAGGGATCCAGATGATCTGCTGGGTGTGGGAAGAAAACTGAATTTCTGTTTATCTGAAAAGAAGACAATGTTATCTATATAAAGACTAAATATATTGGTAACAATAATATATGTGTCTATTTTGTAAATAGGTATATGAGTGTGTGTACAAATGTGTTTAGCTGATGTGGTTGTGTGAGCAGGAAAATTGGAAAACCACAGCTCTGAAAGATACAAAGAACTTTGATAAAATCTTTTAGAATAGGTTTCTATATTACTTTACAAACTAGCACTGATATTCTCAGCCATGTGAACTACTTCGTGTAATCGGTCCGGATTCATTTATGGTAATTGAAAACATTATTTGCAAAGGACTGTTTTTGGCTTCGATTTAGGCAGCTGTGGGGAGTGGAAAGAGTACTGAGTTTGAAGTTCATAAATCTGGGGTTGATTCCTGCCCCTGCCACTTTCCGTGACCTCAGGCAAGTTACTTAACATTTCCAGGCCTCAGTATCATTACATGTGAGGTCAGATGATGCCACGACCACTCAGTGTAGTTGTGAAGTTGTAAATGTGATGGGGCATGGCACACAGTATGTGGTCAGAAATGCTACTCTGATGTGCTTCTCTTTTATCAGTATTATATAGTATTTATCAGTATTTATCAATATTATGTAGAATTTTTCATGTTATTGGAATTGATTTCAAGGACTTTTGTCCTGTGACATTACAAGTATTTTAAATTGCCCAACAAGAAGTAGGTTTTTTGGAATTTGCAGAGCAAGACTAAATTTTCTCATTATTTTTTACTGCATTAGGTACTGTTTTAATATCCCTATTTATCGAACCTTTCCTAATAGATTATTCCTCTATGTCATTTAGACATACACATGCACACGAGTAGTTTTGATAGTTAAATATTTTACCTAGATGTAGCTAAAAATTTCATTCTTAAATTTCAAAATTAACTTATTTTTTTTCCTAGAAGCAGCCATATTTCTGAAGAATTTCCTAATTACTGCCATTTGTGAAAGAATTGTAAGATTATATTTGTTTGGTTATGTAAAACTCTTTCTTATGATTTCCTTAGTTTTGAACCAGGAAATTGAGGCATTCAGTCTTTCTGAAGACACTTCATCAGGAATTTCTGAGGACCGAGTTGTCAGCGTGAGCTTCCGAGTTCTCTACCCCATTGTTATTACCAGTCTTGGGGTGTTTTATGATGCCAGTGATGTGGGTTTCCAGAGGAACATCACAGTCAAGCTTTATCAGGCAGAACAAGAGGTAATGCTTTGTTTTGTACAAGGTTTTCCCCATTTTTCTTTTTAAAAAATACCAGCTTTTTCCTCATGGCATATAGTAGATCGGGAGACTGTATAATTACATCTGGTTGGAAGATTTCCACTTTTCTTCCCTTACTGATTGGATACATTATAGCATAATATAATAATATGCTGGTTTGGGCATAGAATACCAGTGAAAAATAATGTGTTATATCTAGAAAAGAAGAGGTTGGGGCAGATTAGAAATTCCCAACCTAAAATCCCCTAAAGCCTAAGGAATTACAAAAGTTGATAATGAATGTGGAAACTTTGGGACTCTGAGGTATAAGCAAGTATTAGTGTCTCTTCGTTCCAACCCTGAAAGTCTGTCTCTATAATACAAGGCTAACAGCTACTTCAAATGTCTTTTGTAATAAAGATGTTGAGTGACTCAAAGTTTAAAACAACTGGGGTTACTCTCTTCCTGGTATGTAGGGTAATCTGATTTGTTCATGGAGTACATCTGAAGGAGTATATTAGGAAGGAATTGTATTTGAAGAGATCCATTTGTAGAAATCTTGGAGGAATTATACAGTGAATGCCCATGTAGCCACCTAATTTCTACAGTAGTTAACCTTTTGCTGTATTTCGGGGCATCTGGGTGACTCAGTCATTTAAGCGTCTGCCTTCAGCCTAGGTCATGATCCTGGAGTCCCAGGACCAGCTCCACATCAGGGTCCCTACTCAGCTGGGAGTCTGCCTTTCTCTCTGCCCCTCACCCTGTTTGTACTCTCCCTTTCTCTTTCAAATAAATAAAATCTTAAAAAAAAAAAAAAAACCCCAAAAAACAGTTTGCTGTATTTGCTTTATCATATATAGAGTTGTTCAGTGATCTATCTTCTTATTTTTCCTGACTGTATTTCAGAGTCAGTTTCAGGCATCCAGATACTTTGACCCTAAATACTTCAGCATGCATATCATTAACTAGACTTTTTTTTTTTCCCCATTAACTGGGCTTTAATATTTGTGGTTTTTTAAATTTTATGCACAGTGAAATGTACAGTAGTAAAATGTCCATTTTAATATTTGTGGTTTTTTAAATTTTATGCACAGTGAAATGTACATTAGGTCAGTTATTTTTATTTAATTTTTATTTATTTAAGTAATCTCTACACCCACGGTGGGGCTCAGACTCATGGACCTGAGATCAAGAGTCACATGTTTTTCTGACTGAGCCAGCCAGCACCCCCCTTGGTTAATTTAAACTGCATAAAGCTGTGTAACCCAAACTCCTATCACCCTGTCCCACTTTGAGAGGTGGCCATTCCTTTTTTTTTTTTCTCTGTTATCATAGACTGGTTTTGCCTGTTGTGATATTTCATATGTAAATAGAATCATAAAGTACTCCCCTCTGTAAGGCTTCGTTCACTCAACATGTTTTTGTTACTCATCCATGTTCTTGTATGTATTCATGATTTTTCCCTTTCCTTTTACTTTTCTTTTCTTTTCTTTTTTTTTTAAAGTAAGCTTTATACCAAATGTGGGGCTTGAACTCACAACCCTGAGATCAAGAGGGCATACTCTAACCACTGTGCCAGCCAGGTGCCCTGTCCCTTTTCCTCTTTTTAATTGCTGAGCTGTATTCCAGCAACATGTTTATCCATTCTCCTGTTGCTGGGCATATAGAATGTTTCCAGGGTTCTTCTCCTTTATTCTGTTAGTGAGATGAATTAACATCTGTTGATTCTGAAATGTTAAATCAACCTCCTCTTCCTCTTGGTCATGACGTATTATTCTTTTTTTTTTTTTAAGATTTTAATTTATTTATTTGCCAGAGAGAGAGCACAAGCAGTAGGAGCCCCAGGTGGAAGGAGAGAGAGAAGCAGGCTCCCCCCTGAGCAAGGAGCCTGATGTGGGACTCAATCCAAGGACCTCAGGATCATGATCTGAGCTGAAGGCAGATGCTTAATGGACTGAGAGACCCAGGCACCCCTCTTTTTTATATATGTAGATATAGATATATACATATATAGATATAGATATAGATAGATAGAAAAAGAGAAAGAAAGAAAGAAAGAAAGAAAGAAAGAAAGAAAGAAAGAAAGAAAGA